GAACAATTAAACATATCCACCCAGCTGACGAGTCACAAATGGGATGAAACGCGTGTCCTGGATATCACTCCTAGCCACCAATCATCTCTGCTTATAATGCTTGTGACTTATGATAATATTGAGGCAATCTGAACAGCATGTATATACATGCCAGTATGAGACTAATCAATTGCAGTTCTAAACATCAATGAGAAGATTTAAACAACCAATGCAAAAAGTAACTAAACATATCTGTTTCAAAAATCCCTTACCATAGAAGTGTAAAACAATATCGTTTTAAATCGAATCATTGCTCATTGATAGTTTCCTACAGTTCTCTAATTTATACCAATAGATGGTATATGAATTATTGACAGAATGTAATTAGAAACACTATTTACACTTATTTATTAATGACATTGTTTCAAAGTGATATTTAGTTGAACTGAATAACTTACTTTTATAGTATTGTATACAAAGAGGATAGTTTTGTTGAAATATTTATCGTATTTCTTTATTTAAAAGTAAATAAATTAATTCTTTTTATATTAAAAAATTATAATAGTGCAAACAGTTGTTGTGTAGTGAACGAAGACTTGGTGGGAATAACCGATATATTATTTCATGCAAAGCTATAAAATATAATAAAAACTATACATTATTTGCACATTTTCCTTCAGTTGTCCTGTACATACTTCTTCATTCTTGCTCTTCTTGCTCTCTGTTTTCCTTTCTGTTCTCTTTAATTCAATCTTCTGATGTTAGATCTTCTACTTCCGATTAATACTGCATACTACTTATATCTGTCAATATGATTAGCATACACTATAGCTGCACTGTGACTCAACAACTTTGAAATTAAACATTGGAATGGAATTCAATTGTATGTAAACAAACTATTGAAATTGAATTACTAACACCTTACTTAATGCAAAAAACGTTTTCTACGAGTTTTCATAATTATATGATGGTGAGTTCAGTGTTTCACTGAAACCATTTATCTCATGTAATGATATAAAGTTATAAACAAGACGGTAAATTTTAGGAATATTTTTATGAGACTTCCTGTAAAAAGTATTACGATGTAATTGGTCAGTTGTTCAGTACACAGCAGTTTTGTAAACGTGTTGTGTTTTAAGACTGGTTCATTTGGGCCTACTGTAATTTTTATTTACCTAGGAACGAGATTCTCATAATACGAAACAGGGAATTAGAGCGAACTGGATGACATAATAGTTGAAATTCAACGACTCAACGATAATCTTGAAATGATGGAACCTAAGAAGATAACAGAAGTGCAGAAAAGGCTTGACAATTAGCGAAGTCAAAAGTAGAGAAGAACAGATCTATGTGTATAGCGACAGAACACGATCTATGGACGCGGGAAAATAAAAAACTAAAAGTGATAACAGTCATTTGGTGAATAGTAAAGGTCATGAAGAAATATAAATTAGAAATTATGCTACTGCGACTGTAGTAACAGGGACGACACTAGGATTTACTAACCAGAACTAAACAACTAGAGGTTATCCCTTTATTTCCTATAATTTTGATCATCTCTCTTAATATAATTAACTGCAACTGATGGGCTGGGATACTGGAGTGATTTTTGATTTCGATCTTTGAGATTCTTACAAATCTAATTTTCTTTTGAACACCTCACATACATTTGACGTCCAGCTATTGCGAAACTGTCCAAATAATTTCAAACGAAAGTGTTAACCAAATATTTTGCAATACTTAGAAAATCTTGAATCTTACGTCGTATTAAAAATCTGGTTCACCAGATAATCAACATCCAACATCTGGAATGTAAATCTCTTACTGTTCTTTTACACAAGGTACTTAAGCGAGTATACCAACGATTTAACCTCAAAACGTTCTATAAGCATACTTAAAAGATAATACATATTTATTGATAATTACAACCTGATGTGAATAAAATACTTTTTGTACTGGAAAAACTTGAGTATTATACCATCACATACAGTCACTAAGGTATGATCAATGTAAAATAAAATGCATCGACATAAAAATTACGAACGGGATCAAATGCAGCAACTACATGGATACAATAAAAAAATCTATGGACGTGACTATTCTCCATTGAAATACAATAGTCCAAATGACATAATTCAGTTTGTACTATTAAATGATCATCATCAATCGATTCAATCAATCAACTTAAAATCGATTCATCAATCTGTTAAATCAAGCTAACTGAGTAGTCAGTAATTTCTTCAGAAATACCAGTACAACTTAACGTTCATTATCAATCACGAAAAGCAAGCTCCGATAAATTAATAACGTCTATATATACCATTTCAATGTAAAATCAACAAATGAATACGTGATAATTATTTTTTCTCTATTCTCATCGAATAGTTAAAAAGGTATATCTAGTTATATATAAAAATTAATTGGACGATTTAACTGAGATTTCTTTTAACGTCAATAAATAGGTTTCCTAAAATCCCAAAATTAGAACTTGATAATTTCAAATAAATTGAGTATCGGATAAAAAAAAGTTAATAATAAATATACTATTTGTGATATCCTACTGAATAGAAAATTGTATTTCTGACGTTTCGTGACTTAATGTCAGTCACTTCTTCTGAGTAAATAAATAACCGAAATAAAATTAACACAAGTTTAAGTTGTATAAACTTTCTCATATATATAATCATTAAGTTTGTTTTGTATCTAGAGAAACGCTAAGTAAACTCATTGTAGAACACCCATATGTAGAGAAGATACAAACATACAAACTCATGATGGATATTCAGCATATATATATATATATATATATATATATATATATATATATATATATATATATAATTCGATTGAGAGTCGTTTTCATCAACAATTAATTTCATATAAAATGTCATTGAACACAAAGGAATATTGACAAATCTGATGTAGAACTTTACAAAAACTTGATAGTTGGATTAGAATATAATAATCAACTGATGATATTGAGTAATCAGACGTATTATCTAATAAAAGCAATATACGTTTTTAAGTCGAACTTGATCGATTTACCAAAAAATTATTAAATTAAAGCAGAAATACATGATAAAAAGTGATGACTTCTAGTTTACCAAATGGTTTTTCCAGTTTTATATATTAAATAACAGTCAGTTAATTGTCGACAGTTAAGAATTATTTTAGTTTCCAAAATCAAGGAACCATGGGATAATTGACACCCTTTTCTGTCACAATTTTAACCTATCCATCTTATAATATTGAAAATCAAACTATTTGTCAAAAGTCATCATTTATTGCAATCTGATAAATTATACTGTTAGAATATAAGTTGTTTTTTCTCTGGTTTCCTATAGGAAAATAGTTACATTATACTTAACATTTTACAAAATTTCCCATTTGCTAAACAAATTAATGTATGATGTATATATATATTTATGAAGAGAACAAATAAATTGTTCAAGGACTGAACACGAAAGAACAATGCGTAAGTGATAATGGTTACAGTAATAAACAATGCTTGCTTTTCTCTATGCAATTCTATTTGATTTTCATAGTTTATATCACGAACCAACGAAAACTTGGAAACACTGGATGGCCGATTTATCGTAATAAGTGACTCCTCACAGGAACAGATCCACAACCCTGCAGTCAAGAATCAAACTCGCGACGTTCGGCCTCGCACTCCAATGCTTAACCTCTAGATTAATACTGGACTAGGATCCGAGGGTGTTCATGTCTAACTGCAATCAATTAGAAACATTATTTAAACTTTATTTATTGCCTGAGGCAGACAACTGTCTCATACCCAACACGACTAAACTACACCGACTACAGTTATTCACTAGAATTTTATATGAACTACTACTTCTTACAGGCACATAACTGCGTACAATGACAAATATTACAACACAGAGAAGAAAAGTCATGAAAAAAAGTAAAGAGTTGTAAAGTAAAACAAGTAATAAAGTATGTGAACAAAGAAAATGCAAAAGAAAAAGAAGGGGAAAATAAAGAAAGCTCTGCAAGGCTCAACAAAACTCCTATACCATTAACCATATAAGTTAGTTAACAGTTTATTGAATAAATTAAAATGATTGTTACTTGAAAACTAAGAATCATTATTACTTATCTGGAGTACCAGCCTGCAATAAAAGATTACACATCTTATTCTATGCTTTTAGGTTCCCAAAGACAATCGGAAATTAACTGTCGGTGAAAAAAATCCTAATCATTAATAGTCTGAGATGACGTCATATACTATTGTCCTCATATTCTATCAGAATAAAATAGTTGATAAAAATTTGCAAGTGCACAAAAACCCAGTATTTAAGAACGTTGCATCCTTCAAAGTATCGAGGATCTCTAAAATTCAATGTGACTTTTTATTGGATCCAAATTTTCATTTCTAATTATAGGTACATTGATGGCTAATGTGAAAGAAATCTCAATTCACAATTGGTTGCAGTGATTAAATGGGATATATTAGATCACATTAATCAGTTGGCCATACTTTTAAGCTTGATCAAAATTAACGAACATTTGTTGAAATTAGAGAATTGGTGTTGCTAAGTGTTTGTAATACAATCGGTTTTAAATCTCGACCTCAAGAATAGGAAGAAAAAACCTAGTAATACAATCATGACGATTGTTTTTCTAGATAGTATTGGTTAATCATAAGTTAGAGTATAATGTGACACCGAAGAAGAGATTTGTTACTCAATCTGGCGTATAAAAAACACTAGTGAGTACTCGAATGTCTTGCATCTATCACTAAAACTCAGCCTACATACTAAAATCACAGTTAACACATTAGAATGTCCCTCGAGAACTATTGATTTAAAAGACCATTCAATAAGCCCTAGAAAGCCACTGGTTGTTATTTAGCAGCAGGATATTGGAGTGTAGGCAGAGATAACTTAAAAACATAGTTTTTCGTGTTTCTTATAACTTAGATAGACACATATATCCATATATAAAAATAGATATATTGCACATTAAAACTATTTACGTACAAAAATAAAATAACTTACCAAAAATCATGAAAATCAAAGCCTATATAAGCTAATTGTTCATTTTTCGATAATAGAATATGACGTAAAAATGCATCGGTTAATATAGTTTCACGATGTTTACGTCCAGAACTTAATAAATTCACGATCAGTATACGTTCAAATTCCTGAAAATGTCTTGACCAATACTTATTGAATGCTTCTTGATTTTCAGTTTGTGCTGAGAAATTTTCAGAAAATAAATAAATAAATACCAATACAATAGTTTATCACAAAAAAAAACACTTAGAAACATAAATTTACTCTAGCAACTGAAATTATAGTAAAAAAAAATAGAAATAGATTCCAAGTCGATAATGCTTATCGTAATCATAAGAAGAACAAGAAGATTAAATCAAATAGAGTTTATGATTTATAGTGACATTTCAGTAAATATGTGAATAACTACATTGAAAAGAAATGCTCTGAATGTTAACATGAACTAAGAAATTAATTACTTTATGATTAACAATTCAAAGAAAAATTGATAATCGTAGGCATTAAAATTGGGACAGTAATTTAGGTATATAACCTTCAACAATTTCTTGACAGATATTAAAATCATAATTAATTAGCCATGAGATTACGTATTAAAAGTGACCATTTGAAACTTTAACATAATAAATTCAATTGAAATCATGAGTTGTTTGAAGCTAGACCATCATGGAGAACCTGGAAGCACTGGACGGCCGTTTCGTCCTAGTATGGTACTCCTCAGCAGTGCACATCAACGACCCCGCACCCCACAAGACTCGGACCCAGGACATATCAGTCTCGCGTGCGAGCGCTTAACCAACTAAACCACTGAGTGGACCGGCATCTAACGGTTTTAATGTCTAACTTCAATTAATCCAGGAAACCGTGCCACCGTACACCATTGTCTTAAGTGAGTTGACATCTCACAACAGACCTGGTTGAACTTCACTAGTCACGGCTTCTCACTAGAACTTCAGCAAATGCTTCTTGAAGTCAGTCGCTAATTAGCAGATGATTATTATCAGAAGGGGTTTTGTGGAGATTTTAGTAATTTCACTGGTTGAAATCATGAGTCAATTCAGGCTAGACCACCATGGATAACCTGGAAGCACTGAGCGGCCGTTTAGTCCTAGTATGGGACTCCTTAGCAGTGCGCATCCACGACCCCCCCCCGAGAGATTCGAACCCAGTGCTTCTAGGTTCTCCATGATGGTCTAGCTCCAATTGACTCATGATTTCAACTATTAAAAAAATTGCTAAAATCTCCACAAAACCCCTTCTGAGAAAAATATTTATCAAACAATGCATTTATATAATGATCATTTACTTTGCTATTATTTCTTCTTCAGGAGAAATGCGTTTTTTTTGTTAGTCAATTATGATTAATGATATCAATTTAGTTAGATTTAAATGAATAATTATATTTATTGTTAAGTCTGTTTTCTTTTCTTTTTCTTGATTAATGAATTGTTATTTTGACTCTTCTTATTTTGAATGATAAAATTCATTATAACAACTATTGAATCTTTATTGATGTTTACTATTGGATGATGAATATAATGAATAACTATGTCAAGTCTAATAATTTATGTTACTATTCATGAGTATGAGGATGATGATAAAACTTTTACTGTTATATTTTTATTTGTTGAAAAAAAACTTATGAAATAACTATCATCTACAGTTTGTGCTAAACTACTTATCAGTAACTTGTTTAATTGTTTTGAAAATCATAAATTTTTTCACTTCTCTAATAATGATTGATAGTAAATGGAGTCAACAAATTCAATAGTTACAATTTCTGCTCTATATTTAGACATACAAATATGAAGTTGATGAGCTGATGGCTCTGTTTACAAAATGGCATCTGAAAGCAGAGAACTGGAGAGAAGACATTTCACTTGTTAAATTAAAAATTTAAATTAAGAATACATTATCCAATGCAGTAAACAAAACGACATTAGAAAGGTTGAAACTCAACACATTTAATGCTGTGAGTGTTGTACCGTATGCAATCAGACGTAGATTATCATTATTATTATTATTAAAAATAATCATCCCAATCAAATAATATATAAAGACAATTTTATCATGAAGGTAAGGTCGTTACATGAAAATTATTCACTTTTGAAGGAAATTTCATCAACCAATGATATTAGTTAGACAATAAATGAAAACTTTGAATAAACAGGACGTTATACTTTTAATCACTTAATCATTGTATCGCGCATTCTATTGTGTGAATTTCATGAGTTTGAGCTTCTCGTTTAACATCATACTTCCAAAAACAAATACAATAGTGCATGAATATACATTAGAGAATACAAATCAATAGCATGCTGTTCATTGTAAATCTAATATGGATTATCAGATCTTAGAAACGACAACGACAATTGCATGTGTATATGCAAAAGCTAACAGAATGAATGTAAATGTGAAGATGATTTTGTTCTATTTTGCCTGTTTGTATTTTCTCTTCTGGTTAACGAAAAGAGAGAGAAATCACTCAATTATTAATCTGAAGCGCCACTTGGAATAAGTTGTACGCTCATAATAATTGCTATATTCTTTCTATTCCCTTAACATCTATTATTATTATTATTAATGCTACTAACCCTTAATTTGTATGCTTGACAAATGAAGTGTGTAAAATCCAGACGAATAATGTATTTTGTGGGAATACGAGAAAGAAACAATAACAATAACAATTATGATGGAAAATAACAAACTATGCGTGGCGGCTTTTTTCTTGATTTACTCAATTATGTAAGTTAATTTTAAAAGACTAATATTTGAACGAAGAATATTCTTTTCGATAAATTCTTTTCAGGTTTAACAACCATATATCTAAATTAATAATCCGAAAAATACCCAGGGTAAGGGCAGAGTATATCGTACAGTGACCACCTCATTTTGTACTTATCAGTCCGACTGCTCCTGAGGAGCAAGCTATATTGGTCGAAGCTCTAGGAACACCTCCCAGCCTGTCTAAGCAAAGGTCTGGTGAAGAAAGTGAACAGCTCCATACTGACCCATTGAGTGCAAACTGGTCATAGTGCCACTAAAAACTAATCCTTTGCAATTATTTATCGAGTCAGTAATTTTTTGCCAAAGCTTCTCAGACTTAAAGTCCATCAGATGGCTAAAGCAGTATGCATCCGGATTTAGGAACCGGAGCTATACGTGCAGAAGAAATACCTTCAACTGCTTCTACTCCCCTGGCCAACCTCAATGCCAACTTATCAATAATAATCTTAGCTATTGAATGACTTAATTTGAATATTGTATTTATGACCTTTCATAGTCAAATGTAATTGTCTCTGTTATCTTTACAATTACTTGACAGTATTAGTAAAAGTCAAGCATATTGTTCAGTTGTTTTAACTGACCGTCATTATTTGCCTGAATATATTTTTGGATCTATGGTGTGACTGATGAATATTTAAAATGATTGACTTTCTTCCAGTAGTAGCACTGAATAGGTCCTGCGTGTCATATATGATTCGTTAGTGGATGGATACTGTTGAACAGCTCTGTACTGAGATAGAATATTTGTTCGGTGCTTCTTGGTTTTCAACAGTTGTCTAACGTAAATAAAAGAATCCCCACTAAGCACTTACAAGAGTAGTCAGCATTCACCGGAGACCATATCGGCAACTCACTTTAGTCATGAAAAGTATATCATCAGGTATGATATATATTCCTATATATTCATACTCATAACTAATAATAATAATAATAATAATAACACCAAGCATAACACAACCTTTAAAAAACAATATATATCTACTAACAGTAAAGCAGATGTAAGAGCAAGAAATATAATCGGATCCAATTTTAAATTATTTGTAATATCTCGTTGATATACTTGACTGAAACACCTGTTCTGAAACCCAATGCTAACCACATTCCATCTGTTCTATATCAAGTAATGCAACTGCCCATCCACGACCCCGCGCGCGGGATTTGAACCCAGAACCTTCGGTTTCGAGCACGAACGTTTAACCTCTAGACCACTGAGCCGAAATCCAGCGGTGTTAATATCTAAATTCAACCAATCCACGATATTTCGTCACCATCTTCTATTGTATTCGGTGGGTAATTGTCTCACACTTGACACGGATGGACTTCATTGGTCACAGCTCTTCATTAGAAATCAGAGAATTACTTCTCGAAGCTAGTCACTAGTGAGTACATGATAATTATCAGTATGGGGCTGTGGAGATTGTTGAGTTTTGATTGAGATCATGAATCATTCAATGTTATTATTTATCTGGACTAATGTAGTAATCATGTTGCACATGACAGTTGATATAGTTTAAGATAAAGATAGGAATAAAAAACTACGCTAGTTAAGTGTAAAGGGTGTATGCATGATTGTGTATGTATGTCTATTTGTCATAAAACACAATTTCGACATTTACATAAATCCATAGCCCAAAGTAGGAAATTTAACTTTATGCCACTACTATTCAATAAGTTTCATAGTCAACTGTTTTAGTAAAACAAACAAACAAACCAATTTTTAATCTGTCTTATTTTGAATTATGAAAATGAACACAGATATAATTAGTCATTTGTTATTCATTGATCAATGATAGACATACACACTATTATAAACAACTAAATGAGTAGTTTATATTAATGACAAATTGTCTTATTTTGTGTAGTTAGTTTTTCGATTAAATATCAATTGAATATGCAAATTGAAAAATTTCACCGAATATTCAAAATAATAACAAAATGAAGAAGAAGAAGAAGAAGAAGAAGGGAAAGAAAAACTATTTCGGTGTACAAATTTTGTTTTCAATAATTAAGTAGATTAAAAAAACAACAGTTTGTTAATACATTTCATTGTCTAAATAAATATTAAAAAGAAAACAGTATTATGTATTCAATTGACTTGTTTACTTATTATTAAATTAGTAATACTGGAAGAAATTATTGAGTGAAGTAAAATAAATTTTCTAGGTGGATGGTATAAACAAGAAAAAGAAATTATCCATGAAAAGTTATTACTTGTAAACTGATATAACACTAGCTTATCTATTGGTCAAGGCACAGAAAGCATACTGAACAATTTGACAGTTATAAAAAAAACGATAACTAATAAAAAGTTATCAGAAGGAGCTTGTGGAGATTTTAGAAATTTCACAGATTGAAATCATGAGTCAATTGAAGCTAGACCACCATGGATAACCTGCA